CTCATAAATCCTACTGAGTCGCATGCAATTATTACTTGCAGGTAAGTGTGTTTAGGATTTTAGCCTTAATCTTCTCAGCTGCCAGCTCATCACTTCATCTGAGTTGACCCCATAGCAGAAGAAGGAACTGAGTTCTCTCAACCAGACTGTGATGCACCTCTTGTTGCACTCTAGCTTTTCTGTTTCTAGCAGTGCTTATAACTTGTCTTTCGCTATAAAGTGGGTGGGGATTGTGCTGTAGGGAAGGGCTGAATATATTCAAGGCGGCTACATTCCAGCTCAGAATCCACCATGTCGGGTTACTGTTGCAGCTGTCTTGAATCAGTACTCAATATACCACCACTCTGTGCATTTACAAGTAACGCGTCACTGAAGTTCCTTCACACCTTTGACTGGTAGTGATGTGTCATTAGCATTGGCTGCAGTTTACCAGAAGAGCTGCTGCTTTTCAAAATGTCAGCCCAGTCTGTGGTGGGAGCTTTTTTAAAAAAACATTGTGCCTTGAGAAAGCTGAACTAAAAGAGATGCAGCTGTCACTAACTCTGCAGACATAGTGCAATATCCCAAAGGAACACAAACATATATTTCATAGGGGCCTGAGGTGTTTAAGAAAGCATCTTGTAAAATGGGAAGGTAGTTTCCAATCCATTATAAATTACTGGCCATCATTCACTAACCACAACATACAGTAGTTGTGTACATAAGACCAAGATTCTGTTCTCCGTCTCCTATCCACAAGAATCCAGACAGCCACAAAAATTACTGAAATACTTAACGAGTCTTTTACTTGCATCACAACTGACTGGCCTGCCTCCTGTAAGTTTTTCGTCTAAGTTCTGTGGTGGATTTGCTGGTCAGATTTTGAATGTCTTATCTGCTTGCATTATCTCAGTGGCAACCCTTTTGAAAAAGGGCAGATGCACAGTAGACATAGCAAGAAACCTGTATTAATCCCAGATTCTATTTGACTTGCTGTCTGAAAGCATATACAGGCGCCCTCCAACTTGTGTGGGGGTTACGTTCTGAACCCCTGCACACATAAGTGAAATTGCGTGAAGAGAAGAGTTTTGGATTTGATATCCCGCTTTATCACTACCTGAAGGAGTCTCAAAGCGGCTAACATTCTCCTTTCCCTTCCTCCCCCACTACAAACTCTCTGTGAGGTGAGTGGGGCTGAGAGACTTCAGAGAAGTGTGACTGGCCCAAGGTCACCCAGCAGCTGCATGTGGAGGAGCGGGGAAGCGAACCCAGTTCCCCAGATTACGAGTCTGCCGCTCTTAACCACCACACCACACTGGCTCTCAGTGGGGATAAGAATAAAAAACAAACAGCTGGATAACTTTTTAGATCCACCAGTCTTGTGCCCATGTATCCCATAGTGCCATAGTATGAAGGTTACCCTCCCAAATGTGCTTTGGTGTCTCTTAGGTTTCATTCCTAGAACTGTGCATGTTCCTGACATCAGACTTGCGATTTTCAATCTGTGATGTTTGAACCTGCAATGACTCACAACATATTGATATGTCTTCTCCATTTATCTTTCTTTTCCTACTAGAAAGGTGGAATTGTTCAGCCTTTCATTTAAGTGAGATTTATGCATAGTTTTCAAATAAGGTTCTGCCCCTGAACCTTATATAGGCATCCCTATAGACAACACCAGGTCCTGGAAATCAGGGAAAACCTGGCTGCACTTCACCAGTGCATGATGTTCATTCATGTGTAGAATGGATACAATTTCTGTTTTTCACCTATCCATTGTTAGTGGTATTTAAAATATTAGGTAAAGTTTACAAACAGGTTGCTGTCTGAAAGCACATACAAGTGTTTTCCAGTTAGCATGGGGGTTACGTTCCGAGCCCCTTCCAGGACTTGATAAAGTAAATATGGAGCAATATGGAGAGTTAGCAATATGGAGAGCTATTATAGTTGCTTTTCAGAAGCTGTCACACGTTCATTGCTACTCTTTGTTAAGATCGTTTTAAGCTTCTTCTTTTGATGGATCTTGAACTGAGTTTCACATTATGAAGTAGTGGTAGCAGCAGTCCAGACTTGATGATTAGCATCTTGTGAAAAATCCTTCTTGTATAATATATTAACTCAGTCCAACCCTACGCAAAGTAATTTCCATTGAGTTCAATGGGGTCTCCTAGTATAGGACTGCAGCCTTAATTATGAAACTTTTGGGCAGTTCAACTTCTTTAGTGAACAAATGCAGGTTTGGACCATGAGAATGATGTATGTGCTGCTCAACCTTTGGAACAAAATGTACGCCAGCCAAATGCTGTATGTTTTCTTTTCATTGTTTGCTTGACTCTCTCCTCTGCCCGCCTCATGGATTAATATATTTTTCCTTCAAGTCATCTCTGGCTGTATCTTCTAAACTTGGTCAAGTCTAAAGATTGGGAAAAGAACCAGCTTTCTGTTCCCTTCATCAGTCTGATGTCTACATTAAACAGGTGTTTCAATGGATTGTATTTACTGTGTGTGAATACAAGCAGTTGGCTAAAAACCTGGGCTGTATTTCAATATGAATTAAGCTCCAAACCCTTTGTTCAGTTCTGTTCTAGGTTTTCATCCTGAAGGTCTTCACAAAGCTTGCTAACAAAACAGTTCTCATTTTGCCCCTTGAGAATAAGCAGTTCCTACTGTTCTTTGGCCACTAGATACCAAGGACTCAGCTACATTAGTAAAAAAACAGTGAGTTGAATGTGCTATAAACATGCAACACCAGATGGTGCCAGAGAGCAGGAAATTTTAAAATACAGTTTTCCATAGAGATTTTTTTCTTTTGTTAAAGAGATCTAATTTCTGACTTATTTATAGTGGTTCTCTCCCCCCCCCATGTGTTTAGATCTACCCCAAGTGAGATGCTTCTTGTGTTTAATAAGGAATTGTGCACTGCTGATCGGTCCAGTAGAGCTGTGCTGTTAGCAATAGCATTTTCTTTCATTTGTGCTGTTGCTAGGCTTTGTAACAGCATAGCTGTATTGATCAGAACAGGATATAGAAACAGATATGAAAATGCTATGCTTTTCTTTTATGGAGTTCCCTGTATTTCATGTATACTGTATGCAGCATTATAGACACAAATAGATTGTGGTGGTTTGTTGGTATTGATTTTTAATGAAGCAATTGGCTCTTGCCAGGAATTGAACTTATAACTGTGTCCAGATAGCATATCATCTGATTGGTCATTTCCCACTTTGAACCTAAGGTCATTTGATCATTTTGAACCTTAAGGTCATGAGAGCGTCTCTGCTTTCTTTGGCTCCAGCCTCCCAGCAGCCCTTAGAAAAAACAGAAAGGGGATGCAGCTACTGCTAAGCTGCTCAGCTGCTCCAGTAAGATCCTATTCCTTGAACACGTCCTGCCTGCTGCCTTGTTTGACTTGCTCTGCACCGACCCTTTCTTTCCTGAACCTAATCAGTAACTATTCTGCTCAGTTGTTACCAGTCTGCTTGTCCTGATCTCATTCTGCTTGAGCCTATTCATTTGTCTCCTGATCCAACTTTGCCACTGATTACTCACCTTGTCCCCTAAATAATTGACTGTTTGGCCTTTTCACTGCTATCATTCCAAAATGAAGATTAAGGGTGGCACATGGCACAGAAAGATTCTTCTCCAGACAGTTTACACCAGGCAGGTTGGCACAGTGATTGAAATGTGTGTGATCAGATGGTATCTCAGAACTGCTACATAGTGCAAAACTAACTGGTCATCCAAGCACACTGTTTTCCTCTCCATCCATGGCCAGGAAGTGCCCTGGAGAAGTTCCTATGCAGGGCAAGATATTGGTAGCCATCTTTTGTTTCTAGCACCTGGGTATTTGGGACCATGGGCTTAGTGCTCCTAGAGGGGCACTCCCTCTTTAGACGGCAATGTGTATTACAGTACAGTGGTACCTCGGGTTACAGACGCTTCAGGTTACAGAATCTGCTAACCTCGGGTTAAGAACTTTGCTTCAGGATGAGAACAGAAATCGTGTGGTGGTGGCGGCAGCAGCAGCAGCAGGAGGCCCCATTAACTAAAGTGGTGCATCAGGTTAAGAACAGTTTCAGGTTAAGAATGGACCTCTGGAACGAATTAAGTTCTTAAACTGAGGTACCACTGTACTTGACTTCAAAATCTGATGAGCCAGTCCTGGTGTGCTTAGGGATCATATTGCTCATTCTGTCAGGGTGATATCTGCCCTCAAGTCCTGGCCTGACAGCAAGTGTGGCACCCCCAAGTGTGGCAATTCTATTCCTGCTCATCCGACAATATTGAAAGCCAGACCCCAGAATGAGAAAGTAATAGTCCCATTAGTACAAGGTACAGTATTCTTGCCTTCATAGAAACACCAGCAAGGTAAAGAGGGAAGGAGAGAGAAAATTTGCTTCAGATTTTTGAATTAAAAAAAGGCAAAAGATAGTGCTGTGCCTTTTTTTTTTTAAAAAAAAGCATAAACCTCTAACATTTGAGCCTGCAAAGCCAACCACAGTGTGTCAAAGGGATTGCCAGCCCTGCTCATATAGGCTTCCTTTTTCTCCCTCATCCATGTGGTCCTAATTGACCCTTTGGCACTAAGTCTTCCTGAACTAGTTGTAGCATTTGCAGACTTTTACTCATCCACTAAGTTTTTAGATGGAAACTCTGTCTTTGTGCTTAAAAAAAATATGTGTGAAAACAAAAGGACATTGCTGAGGCTATTTTCAGCGCTTATGGCAGACACTTTCCTATTGCATTCTCTTTTATTAGATATCATGGAGGGGCCAAGTTTACTTCTTGATTATGGACACACTGCTGTATCAAGTCTGGGCTCCTGACCAAGCAGCTGATGGAAATCCAATTATTACCTTGAATAGAATATAGGGGCCATGAGTAGCGCATGCTGGGAATGTAATTAGAAACTTCCAGGCCATCGGCTGAATGCTATTTACTCTGTAAGCACAGTTCTTCACCCCTCTACTACTTCATTTACAGCAGGGATGGCGGACCTGTCACTTTCCATATGTTTGTTAGACTACAACCCCCATCAGCCCTGGCCAGCATAGCCAATGGCCAGGGATGATGGGAGTTGTAGTCCAACAAGGAAGGTTTCAGGTTCCCCTTCCTTGATTTACAATGAAATCCTACGCATTGGAAGTAAATCCCTCAGTGTTCAATGGGGCTTACTCCCTTGTAATTGCATTTAGGTCTGCAGCTTTCCTGCCTAGTATTGTGCTTCATTTTGCTGTGAGAGATCAGGAAACAACCTACAGTAATACAGCTCATCAGATATATAATTACAATATGGAGACAATTTATATAAAACTTGAGTTTGTATTCATGGTATATAATCTGAGCCTGGATAGTTAATTCCATTCAGCTGCTCTAAATAAATGGAACAGTTTAAAGGTCTACCTGGTCTGTGTCTTAAATCTCACACATTTCCTGTGCCAGTTGTTAGGGAGAAGCTTAGTTCAAATGTGCATACCCTAGGGCTATATATGTAATCTAGCTTTGCTCTGAGCAATGAGAGTATTACTGTGGTGAATGGGGAAAGCCCTTATTGGATGAGTCAGCAATAATCCCAGCACATGCCAGTCATAAACAGGAGGATGCACCTTGCCCCAGCTTATTTCCAAAGTCAGCACCACATCTGAGGCAAGCAATAAATCAGCCAGTCAACTGCATAATAATATAGGAACTGGACTTCTATTGTTGTGGCACCTATCCTTTAGAATTCTGCCCCGTTACATCTTAGAAAGGTGCCGCCAGTCTGAATCTGTATTGGAATTGTTTTAAAGATGTTTTCATTGTTGTATCACTTGTGTTTTTGCTGCCCTGGACTCCATTGGGAAGAAAGGGGAATACAGAAATTTAATACATAATAGTGTGAGGACATAATGAGTTGCTAGGCTGGCAAACATTGCAGCACAGGCTTTTCTTGAAGCCACTATGCATTGAAAGGACAATAGGGAGGCTCTGAGAAGGACAGGCCTTGCCATGAGGTAGAATAAGACCTCAGGCAGCAGGTATGCAGAGTGGATGGAGTTGAGTGGGCCATTTGGCCTGCCCTGTGCCCCTGACCTAGGCGCCAACTCTGTGGGGCACCCACAAATTTTCAATGAAGGGAGCCGTCCTGCCCCCCAAGGTTCTACTTGGTGGCACACACATGCTTTAAAGCACATACCACTGTGCCTTGAAAGGTAAGTTGGATAAGCTGAATGTTAGTATGTGAGGCCAGTTAAAAGGTTTTTAGAAGAATTCTGCTCTGTATTCTTCCAGGCCAAGAGTTATATGTTGCACTAATGAAACAGCATAAGACATGGAGGCTGATCAGGTCAAAGCACAGGCTTCATTAATTATCACTTCTGAAAGTTGGCCTGTACTAAACTCACAGTGATGATACCTTCGTTGAGTGCAATTTCCTGCATGCCTTTCCTCTGAAAGGGAGACAGCTAAGTCTGGAGTTGCATTCACCCATCTGGACCTGTACTGACAGAGTAACAAGATACTGTAGCTTTCTCTTTTAAGTCAGTGCGGAAAGTGCTTCCCGTGTCAAAAATACTTAAGACATAACAATAATTAAAAGTCCAAACTCTGTTAAAGGAAAGGTTACCCTAGGAGTAATCCAACACTTTTCAGTGTTTGCTTATATGCTGTCGTCATTGGAAAAAAGGAAAGCGCTGCTGTGGACTCAAAGGTCCCACAGAATAACAGTGTGTTGCACCGTCCATAGGAAAACATTGGCTGAAGTGTGCCTACAAGTATTTACAATAGCCTAATATGGAATTGATTCAATGTGGCTTCTGATACGGCGCTCTACAGATGTTCCAATGAATACATGTGGGTCTGGGGTGTATTTCCTCTCTCGTGTTCCAGGCATGTCATGGGAAGCTGGAAGGAGAAAGGAGGAGGGTGGGAGGCGAGGAAGAGGAGAAATGGAGTTGGGTAGGTCAAATGGCACAATATCTTGTGCTAGTTCTGAGCTTTTCAACCCATGGCTGTGCACAGATAGCTGCACAGATACACCCATAATGTGATTGCTATGTTTGGCCACATGAGCATCAGGCTTCAGATGCCACATGTTGAGGTATCAGACTGTATGAACCAATTCTTGGTCTGCATGCTTGAGCTGCCTTGGCTTGGCATGTCGGCATGTCAGACCAGTCACACTATAAAACCTGAGTAAAGCTGAGTACAAGTTGTCCCTTAGGCAGCTAATGAAGTTAATGGTGTACATTTTTCTTCCTCATTTTATAGTGTGAATATAATCCTTAACAGACACATTATGAATTCAGCTGGCTTGCTTCATGGAACCCAGGAATGTTTTTGTAAAAATTTTCAAAGGTGTGTGTGTGTGGCGGGGAGTATTTTCTCATTTCAATGATTACTTTTGACAGCGCCATCATGATGCTCTGACTTTGACAGGGATCCACGTTCTTAATGGCTAATCCCCTGTTCAGTCCTGGGATACAAAACATGTACAATGTAGTGTGCAACACTTTTCTCTCTCTTCAAATTGCAGCACTCCCAAAAACCGCAAATGAAATTGCCAAAATGTGGTGTGCCTCATCACATTGAGGGTGTTATTCTACAGAAGCACACAAGTTTGGGCTGTGAAGGCCCATGGCAGAACATCAGCTCATTTCTCCTTACTATTGGGTTTCAGGTGGAAATTTTGTGAGCCAAGAGAAGCCTTTAAAGAAGATTATTTTAGAAGCACATTGTGGCCTTTGATGTTCCAAAAAAAATGGCACATTTGGGTTTTTAAGTAGTATCTCTTTTTTTGTTTACATCAATACAACAATAACAACAACAAAGAGAATATTATGAGCGAGGTAGAAGCGAAAAGGGGACAGAGATTGGTCAGTCTTCATAGATTTTGCTAATTTAAATTTGTATCAAATTTCTGTAGTTTGCCATATGGAGCTAGTTCATGTGTGGCAAGTGAGGATAGGTCATCGGTTAGTTGGTCAATTGCAAAGTTTATTTTCTAAGCATTTGTCCTCCAGTTGTATGCTAGTCATTTTAAATGTAAGCAATTTTAAAAATCTCTCTCTTGAAGTTATATATTTTGTCACAGATCCTTCTTCTCTTTCTCTCTGTCCCTTCAGCCCTCCATAAAATATTTGAAGGGGCCAGCCCCTCCCCAGTTGATGAGCATTGCCATTTAAATGGTATGTGTGTGCCACGTCTTGTGGTTGATTATGTGGGGCAGGACTTACCTGGACCCCCCCCAATATTTTATTCAAGTTGGCACCCCTGACCTAAATGCTGGCCGTGCCTGACGCGCGCAGTGTTGAAAAGAGTGTTGGAATGATTTTAGGTCTGTACTTAATTTTCTTTCTCAGAATATTCTCATGGCAGTTATATTCTTTCTCATGGAGAATATTGGGAAGGGTGTTAGCAGTCTCAGTGACATGGTTTATTCCATGAGTGGAAAGAGGAGATTGAAGGGGAAATAGCTTTAGAGAGCAAAGGGTGGTGTTTTCCTAACTCATCCTCTTAGTGCAAGGATTACCACAAGCACAATGAGACTTCTGCCCCTCTCCTGCCACCCTGTGCACTGCTCCAGAGAATTGAGGAAGCACCTGGAACAGGTTTAGGGGGCACATGTGGAGGGAAGAGGGTGGAAGTCCTTAAGCTGAAGAACTGAGACTAACTGCTACATTGAATACAACCGAAAGTGTTTTATCTGATCACCAGATCCAGAGGTCTACCAGTGCTCTGTGGTACATGAACACTGATCAACCCAAGGCGTTTACATTCAGTAGAATTTGAAAAGAAAGTATGTTCATACATTATGAAAATACATGAAGCCAGGTTTCCCCCCCCCAACAGGAACTCATTGGAACTCAGTTCCAGCAGCTGTCAGGTGGGCGCCATTGCCATTCTAAGAGAACGAGGGAGGTGTTCATGGGGAGTTCCGGCATCTCTTTTTCTAGAAAAATTAGCATTGCATGAAGCGATCCCTGAGATATACCACATGGATTTAAAACCCTTCTCAGGCACAATGTTTTAACAGGAGAACCATGTGCGCAACAGAGGTTCTGCACATGGAAGAACACTTTTAACTGGGGCTAGTGAGAGCAAGTATTTGTTCAACGTGCTAGACAAGATTCTTTATTATTATTATTATGCAACATTTTGTCTCTTTGTAAAACTCTCAAAGAGTCACGTAAGTTATCATGCGAAGAGGAAGGGAAAATCTGCTTGCTGGAAGACGTACAGCATATTTCTTTAAACTTATGCCAACTCAGTCTTTGCGCTTAATGCTTATGTAGCCATTGTGGATCTGGTCTTGGTGGAAGCAGTGACAAAGTTTAGCTTCACTGGTTAAATTTATGAGATGAATTTAAGAAAGATATTGTGAAACCCTTGCTAATCAAAAAGGTCTGAACAATTACACTTTTCTGCAAATGTTTCTGTTTTATGTCTAAGTATGTAATTAAGGTCCTGCTGTTCTTGTATACTTGTATGATTTTAGGTATCTGAGCACCATTTCTAGAGTAATTCCTGAAAAACATGATAGCTGTCACTGATTTTTTTAAAGCAGTACTGAAATTAAATATGCCAATAATTCAAGTTTCTGTTCAGTGAAAATCATGACAATTCCAAAGTAATCTTCTTGCATTAATTAAGGCAATATCAAATTGCTATCGAAATCCCTCTACTCAGTGTTATTTTACTAGAAAAAGAGGTGCCGGAACTCACCATTAACCTTGTTCTCTTATTATGGCAATGGCGCCCACTCAGGGGTGGAGGAAGGGGGTGCCGTGGGGGCAGGGTGTCCTGGGTGTCACCACTGAGGGGGGTGACAAAATGCCGGGCGGCACTCACCGCAGGGCCTGCAGCACGCACAAGCGTGGAAGTGACGCGGTAGCTTGGATGCCTACAGGCTCCGTTGTGCCCCAAATGGTCCGCCCACTGCCTTCCCCTCAGCTGCAGGGTGGCTGAGTGGAAGGAGGCAGGCAGACTCCTTGGAGGCCCCACAGAGCATCCTGCCCCGGCTCGCCCCGCCCCATGGGCAGCTGACCCTGACCCTGGGTGAAGGGGGAGCATGCTGCCCCAGGGGCCCCATCGGCTTGCTCTGCCACTG